CCTTGGCAAAAAAAAAAAAAAAGGGATTAAGTTTGGAAACTACTATAATTGGTCCCAACAATAAAAATCGGCGCAAAAAGTGTTGCGCTGGAAACATTAACCTGATCAGCCAACGCAACCTTAAACCGATTTTGCTTCATCCCAGTAGAGCTGGACACGCTACTTTTTATTTAAGTCGTCCACGTCGTAAATAAAAAGTAGCGTGTCCATCTTCCCACAAGTTTTTTGTCGTGTAACTTGGCTTACCTAAGTCAACATTTTGCCCTAATTGAGCAGTTAATGTTGACAGTAGCTAAGGGGAAGGGTAGGTCGGTACTTTCCCAGTGCATCTTATACTGATCATTTTGATTTAACTTGTGCAGGTGACGGAACTGGTAAGAACCAACAAACCGTTGCAGAGAATGGACACAGAAAACAGTGAAGATCAACAAAAAAGGTTTGCTTTTACTTATATTGTTTAGCTTAGTCTCCGTAAACAACAGTAAGCGAGGCTCCGTATCGGGTTTCTCCGCCATGGTCTGACGTCAGCACCTATAGAAAGCACGACGGCGAAGGCAACGAGAACATCAAAAAGCAAAGGTTTGATAAGCAAAACAACTCTGCTCGTGCTTTTCGTGCAATTCTTTGCCTGCACGACTACGACGTAAAACGGTTTGTTGTAACCTGCGCAACGTAACGTAAGTTGAACGCAATATACCAAAAGTTTGAAACTGCGTAATATCCCAGTCGTCGCTCAGTTTGTTCCAGCAACGGTCGATCTACCGAACACTTATACTGCGCATGTCTGCCAGTCCCACTTGCATGTAAACGCAACTTACCCATGACGTTTTAAATTGCACAATGTTCGAAATATCTTTATCGCGTGACATAGATCGTTTGCTAAACCGGGGCGAGTTGTGAAACTTCAAGAAACAGTTAGGGACTTTACTTGTTTCCCCCGCTCACACAACAGGTTTTTGATGATGGTTTTGGTAATTCTCGCATTCGTCATGTCCGTGTGCGCTGCATGTTCGCTTTAACTTATCGTTTGCTACCATTGCGCGGAGACCGCTACGTTTGGATTATTTTAGGTTAAAACCTTTTACAATATAACATGGATAAATTTAAAACTGCAGCTCACGTCTTAGCTACTTCGAGTTTTGAAAAAGGCTGGAAATCCATTTTATATGAATAGGTTAAAAATAAACTCTTTTACATTCTCGATTCTCTGTGCTCTTTGATGAATACGGGATTGAATTCACAAACTTTGGAAGACTCAAACGCACGAGTTACAGCCATTTAAAATATTGATTTTTTTTAGCAATGAGCAATAATAAAGACAGTTAATTCTGGATTGTTTACGCTTTACCTGGCCGCTTTGCTAAACAACTGCTCTGCAAGAAAATTCGCAGATTATAATAGTGAAAAGTTTGCCGGGTATTGCCCAGTTTGCAGGATATTGCCTATATTGCACAGTTTACAAATTGTGGTATATTGCGCTGCGTTGCGGTGCGCAGTTTAGAGCAAGCCACGTAAAACCTCCTAATGAGACGTTTCATAGAAGACACGAACACCGGAAGCCGAGAAAAACTAAAAAAAAAAATAAAACTTGGACTCTGTCCATACGAATTAAAGAGACTATGTAAAGATGATGTTGCTGTTTTTGCTCAATTCTGTGCTAAGTCATTACTTAGTTCCTATGAGTTCCTTTACCAATACATAAAATGCTGCTGTAGAGTTACAAATAAGATATCAAACAAATTAAAGCATTTTGGTGATTTTAGCAGGCATAGGATTAAAACTTGAAAAGGTTGGGCCAACGTTTTCAAGTTTCAATCCTTGCTATCCGTTACAACAGACGACAGGAAACAACGTCAATGCCTGACCATAGTCTTCAATAACAAAACTCGATCATTATTTTGAGAATTTAATAGATACGAAAGAAGTTTTTGCTTTTTCTTTGAAAAACAAAAAAGATAGCTAATAGCGTAACCTAGCCCTTTAAATTTGGTGACATTTGACATACGGAGCGAGTTGGAATAATCTCGGTGAAGTTTGAAAAAACGATGTGGCCGTGACGTTGCTGGCGCCTCCTTCTTTGTGGTCTCGTCGCCGTCGTAGAAAACGCCGAAAACGTGCAATAGGGGCGGGTGCGGGGGTGGGTTGGCTCTCGCCCCAACTCTCGCTATTTATGGCACTGGAACACTCGTTCTGTATCGGGTTTTTTTTTCGTGCTTCAACTTTGTACTTCACGAACTTCAATGGCCTTGCCAAACTTGGCAAACTATTTTAAGCTACAGAATTCGGTAGGAGCAAAATTCTATGTAAACCATCCAAATGTTGGAGCAAATCATTTTGAATATGATATCATTTCATGTTTTCAGCCAGTTTCTGTAAACCAACGTCACAGACTAATTTGCCGTAACCCTTTCAAGATTATTTTTATTCCTAACTCACGCGCAATGTTTTAAAGGCAAATTTTACATCAGTCATACTTCAAAACTAGATTAGGCTGACAGGTTTTGAATGTATTAGCAAGTAAACGAATGGATAGGCACTTGGTTTCAATCAATCAATCAATAAACTTTATTTACCCTCGAATTTACAGTGTAGCACTCAAGTGCTAATATCTTCGAGCCAAGAAGATAGGCTTGGGGGAGGTCGTTCCAGTGAAGTCGTCTGTTACTGACTTTCACGCACTTCAGTTCAACATTCAATGCCCCTTTGAACTCGAATCAGTCTAAGTGTATTATATCACAAAACTCTGAAAGTCACTGAAATGCGATATATTATTGTTAACAATGAGAATAAATATAAATAAGAATAAACAAATATATAGATTAACAATATCCCTCAGCGTACGCATATTAGCTTGTCTTTTCCTTCCACTCTTAAAAATAACCAGCTCAAATCCCAAATAATTAAATAATCGATAATGTCAGTCTTAGCAGCACTTTGGCTGAGCTAATCAAAAAGGCCAATACTTGTAATCAAACCCGATATTGTAGTTTAAACCGCTTAGTCACGAAACTTTCAGCTAATGACAACGTATATTTTATGTGTGAGAAAAATTAATTGTTGATTTTTTAATAAGGGCTATTCAAATCAGTTGACTGACTCTTCTTTTTCAGGTTTGAGGCGATTGTCGTGAATTTCTTAAAGCTTGACCTGGAGCATGCTGATCCACACGGGTTTCTCTCCGAGCTACTTCAACTGACTGCAAAGGAATAGTTGATCCACTCTTCTCGGCTTGGATGTGCCGGTGTTTACAAATTCCAACAGTGCATGATAACCGGTTAACTCCGTCACTGTTCAGTCATGTGATATGCAGATATTACTTTTAAGGCTTTTCAGTTTTTTTCCAGAAGTGTCGAAAGTCAGGCAAAATTCTTAAATTGCACCTTATAAATAAGAACCCTAACAAAAATACACCGTGCAAAATTTGAAGTACCGATGGAGAGGTTTCATTTCAATTGAGTGGTCGCTTTTATGGATTTTAATCAAGAGTTGGAAATCCTTGTAGAATACAACAAGGCCTTCCGCAGTATCTTGTATTTTAATGGTCGCTATTAAGAATTTTTCCCACGTACTCAAAACTGAGTTAAAACTTCCTTGTACAACAGAAATAAGGGCGCCACAGTAGCTTTTATTTGACCACACTTTTAGATATATTCCACAGATTCCAAAGTTCGAATCACCTTTTGCATAAGCAACAAGGTACATGCAGGTATTTAAGGAAATGTGTCACGACAGTAACGGCCATTTTCGGTTTAATTTTGCCAGTTCATCGCTATGTCACATCAGTTTAGGAGTTACTTCTAAATAACAGTACCACAACTTCTAGACGAATAAGTCTTCCAAAGATAGCTTATAATTTCAGAGTTCATAACAAATAACTGAGTTAAAAAAATGTTTGGTGGCCAGTTCTCAGTTGATGTTTTTATTTCGTTTATAAATTTTGTAGCGAGGCTCCTTAAAAAGTATAAAACACTTTGTACAGTTTATTCAACATTCCCACAGGAAAGCACTGCTCAACAATATTTGAATGGTCACACTTCAACTCGATAGTAAAACTTTGTTATATAACACAACAGTTATTACCACAGTAAAATACTGATCATCGGTTTTGACTTTAATGATCATGTTTTAGAATTTCACCCACAGACTCCAAAGTTCGTCTTACCTCTTGCAGCGTGCTAAACAGTTTCAAAAGACAGTACTGCACTGAATGGAAGCGCTTTAGCTTTTCAATGACAGACTTAAAAGTTGCCAAACTTCCTCTTGTACAACACAATACTCAAGTATTCAGTACCATCAAGTACTTAGTCAGACCATAGGATTTCATCCATACTCAATGGATTCCGTCATGGCTCACCGACAGAAGGGCCAAAACCCAAGTGAAATCAAATAGTGACTATTCAACCAAAAGTCCTGCTACGGTTCCTCTTTTGTTCTGTTTATTTTTACCTAGTGTGTAACAAAGAGCAAGTTCTTGACCTAAACATCTATTCATTCGAGGAAATTTTTATTCCAAAGAGGGAAGAAATCATAAAGTGTGACCATTGACGTTTATGCTACACCCGGTGCTTTCCCTGTTTGTCATTTTTTTCCTGTATCTTGCCCAAACTGAATTTCGAATTTTTGGGAATATGTCCACTAACCAGTTGTTAAGTGGAGTGGTTGAACAGTGGCTCTACTTAGCTTTGCATTCCTAGTCTTATCTCCTTGTTGATATTGTATTTTCAGTTGTCTTGAGAACTCTTTCCGCTCCAGTGTATGTAATATAATTCTCATTCAATTACAATGTGCTCTGACGTCACACGTTTGTTCTTGTATAATTATGCTACGTACTTAGAACGAGGAAAATTGCATGCACATGTTATAAAACGCCTACCTTGGCTGCAAGGCGGGTTAGATAAAACCGACATTCACACACACACAAACACAGTGTTATTAAGCTCTCGTTGAGATAGCAGAGTGGAAGTTAACCGCTTGTTGCGGTGGTGGAAACAAGCAAGAAGATGAAGCACTGTCCCCTTCAAAGAAGATATCATCGAAATTCGTTTGAAATCGCGCTGTTAGGAGCAGCCAGTGTGGGAAAGACGTCGCTGGTTCGACGGTCGTTTTATGGGGAGTTTGATGATGAGTATACCCCAACAGTTGAGGACTACTACAAACGTGAAACGCACCAAAACCATAGTGTAACTGTTCTTAATGCCACAGACTGTGCTGGGAGCTTTCAGTTCCCTGCAATGAGGCAAGTAACCATCCGAAGAGCTGCTGGTGTGGTCCTGGTTTTCTCATTGGACAGTGAATTTTCGTTTCGTGAGCTTTACAGAATATTACACGAAGTCATCATGACCAGGGGAGAGGAAGGAGTTCCAATTGTTGTTGTTGGAAATAAAAAGGACTTAGGCGTTCGGGAAGTTTCAGAGGAAGAGATTGCGGAATTAACAAGAAAATTCAGCTCTGATCGATTCCCTCTGCGTTACGTTGAGGCGTCAGCTAAAGACAATTTGAACGTTGAAGAAGTTTTTAATCAGCTTCTTAGACTTTTGATGCCTGAAGCTGCCCCGAAGAAGAAGCGATTCAAGATTTCTAAATTAGTCAACGAAGCGAAAGAAAAATGCCATGTTATGTGATATATTTAGGACATATTCCGCGCTGCTGTGCCTGTAAACGTATTTATTAGACGCCATACTTATTTTATAGCTGAAATACACTAACTTATGTATGAAAAATATCAAACAAAAGCTCAATGTTATGTGAAGTATTTATTTATCTCTCTGTACAAAGTTATGGAAATACACAAGCGATTATTGCTGATTTATAAAGTATAATGAAAGGATATGCTCTGCATGTTTATGTTACCAAGTGCCGTAAATCTATTGTTATGATTGCTGGTGTAAAAAAGGCAAGTCTGAGCAAAAGAAATTTGAATTTTACGTTGTAGAAAAAGCAAATAAAAGTAATGATCTTTGAAATCATGTTCAAAGTCAATTAATTACGACTTCACATGACTTTATGCAGTGACAGTTTCGTTTCCTCTTTTAATTATGCTTTGACTGGAAAAAGCTACTAAAACGGTCTGTACGCTTGCTTATTTCTTACATTTGTACAAAGAAAATTACCGGAAGAGCCGAGGCAATTTGCAACGTATGAAATGTTGTATGCGATCTTCGGCGCTTTCCCGTTCGTCTTCTAATACTTGATTATACTTTGCATAGTCAGTGAAAGGCGCATCAGCGGATGTTTATATTATTAGTCTAGTATGACAGTATCTTCCGCTTTCGTAAGACTTCTTGTCGACTAATCAAACAAAACGACAAATGAAAGCTTATCGGAACAGACTGTGGGAACGTAGGCTGCATGCAGGATCAAACAAGCTTCAACACTTAAGTTTATAGAGAGTTTTGAGCGTCCATTCACGTCACCATTGGCAACACTTTTTTCTTAGTAGGAGATCGGGCTATTCTTAGAGCGTTTTTACTAAAGTGAAAGCCATTTCAAGAAAAATGGAAATTAATTGCTTGTTTTGTTTTCTATCCATTATGATTGGTTACCGCTTTCAAATGTGGTGAGGTTCTCTTTGATATTTTTAATCCAAAAACGTCATATTCCTTAAAATAATGCTGAGCTAGACAAACAAACAATAAATTAATCCATCTATCGTGTCAGTAGATTGTACCCTCAACTGGAACAGCACGAGGAAAAAAACTACGATTAAAAATGGTCCGCTTTGCTTTTAACATAAAGAATCGTCGCTCATTAGTAATTCCTACATTTGTTTCCGAAGGAAAAAAATAAAAAATGTCCAAAACCTACTAATGTTCGGAAAAAAATCGAACGATAACTTAGGATACGGTGCCGTACGTACGAAATTATTATAGAGATCTAGAGCCCCGGCTCGATTACCAGCCGCTGTTCGGAAATCGAGCCTATTTAAAGCCACGTTTACGACAAATCGTACCACGTGACGAAGTTTCCTCTTAAATTGTGCTTTACTGTTCATTACTTCTACCCCAAAATTAGTCACTCAACGTTAGTTTTGTCTTTAAAAGTTGTTTTGGGCTGTATTAATCTGCCCATTTTCTATTTTGAGAAGTTCTCAACTTGAATCTGACGTTTGCCGTAAGCGTGACTCTAAAACTCTCTTTTTCCTCAAGTATAAATCCCGAAACCAATCAGTGTCTTTTATCCAGCGGCGGTAAACGTCGGATTATGTGTACGCTTTCGTCACTTGATAAATTTGAGTTAAAGAGTTTTTATTTTGTAAACGAGAATTTTAACACTTATAATGCAAATAATTTAAAACATATGGGTAATAATATAGGTGATTCGCTGTCACGAACGGATAACGCTGGAAACTTTACCTTCCCAATTTCCTTATAGTGGCAAATTTGCCTTATCTTGTAAAACGAATTCTTTGCTGATGATAACAAACCATTTCGTAAGCTCACTATATTTTTGGGAATGCGTGGACCAATCTTATTTCACGCCCTCCGCGTGCTATTAATTCTTTTATTCTTCCTGTCTCTTTTATATTAAGATTTATTGTAAACTGACGAACTCGTCATTTGGCAATCGATGGCTATTTTTAAAATTATTTGAACGTTCTCCGTAAAAAGGTAGAAACCGAAGGTAAAATCATTTTTCAGAGTTGTTTTTCGTTTCTTCATCTACGGACGTTGGCAATCGACGGCTATTTTTAAAGTGATTCCGTAAATGTGAAACTGATCTACCGGCAGCGGAAAAAACGTGACCGTTTTTCAGTTCACGAGAGCCAAAGGCGGAAGTCTACGGCTGCCTCCGATGGGGAACCTCTGAAAATCTTAAACTTCCATGTCCTCATTTCTTTTCATTCTCAAATGTCTGACCGTTTTCCTTAAAAAAGTAGAAACCGAAGGTTGGTTGATCATTTTTTCGAGTTTCGTTTCCTCATAATTAACGAACAGTCTCTATCAGAAACTGTGTTTAAGTTGTTGATTCCATTTAGTTCAGTTGCAACTAAGTTGGCGAAGAAATTACTTCCTAATGACTACAAACAAAGCATTCATATAAATCAAAGTTACAACAACAGATCGCGACTTATTGTTGATACGATGGACGGACAGGCCTAACAGGTTTTCCAAAACCCAAATAGCAATCTGTTATAGTCATCATACTTTCTTTTGTATTTGCTGTTTTTCATACCCAGCCATCGTATAAGCGGTTATTTTTTATATATATTTCACTCAGTTTCCAAGCGACCAGTTTTCTATGGCCGAATTTGGCTCTGCCAAATCTCCTTTATTTATTCAGTTATTCAAATAACGAGTGAACTAAAACCATTTTGTTGTGCGTTTGCCCACAGTAGATCATAAAATAAAGTGCGCATCATGGCTCTTAACAGTAGGACTATCAAGGAGCCGCAGATGCGCGAGTCACTGGTGTCACCCAGCTCTTGGGAAAATTTTTTTTTTGCGTATCAAGCAAAATCTTGTGTACATCAGTTTTCATGCAGACTCAAGACAAAAGACAGAGATGAAAATATTTCATGACGTCAAATGTGCGTCTGTATTCTGATAGTTGATATATTATAAGCAATTAAAATACGCGTAGAATTAAGCATATTGTATAAAAACTAATTAGAAAAGAAACCGTCTATTAAATATGGTAATAGACTGAGCAAAGTTCAATTCGCTTTGTAATCATATGAGTGGTTAAATAACATGTGGATGACTGCGTATGAAATTAGACGAAACGAAAGCCCTGAGGTCCCTGAGATCAATTAGTCATAACTATAACACTGAGAAATATACAGTGATATACTGTAGTTTGGACATCTTGTTTAGCAAAGGGACATGATTGCCTTTTTTGTCCAGGCGTTTTAAAAAAGAACACTTCAAATACAACTGGTATGCGTTATGAAGAGTACGTATACTAGCCAATTACTGATTACACTGTCTGTTGACTCTGAAATCAGGGCCGCTAATAGCCAATCAGATTAATGAATGTCATTTGTTATAGTTACGATTAGTCATAGTAAAGCGAGTGATGACATAAGTGATGCTTATCGAGACGAGATTTCTGAGCGTGTCCACTTTAATAGGGCGCGTTCTTTTGACGTTCATCCGGAGTAGGATAATGGAATAAACTCTAGCAGTCATTTACTAGATAAGGCATTGATTTGCCGCCATATTTACACCTGTGGCACACTCTTATTGCGCAAACCCTTTTTTCCTGTATATACATCTTTTTTTTGTCCGATTTTAGTATTTTTGCCTTATAGTTTCAGACAATGTAGGGGTTGAAAGTCAACTGGGGTTCCTGCCTTGTTTACATCTCCTGTCAACATGCTGTTTTTTGTATGTATATGTATTTTTATTTCCTGACAAATAAACTAAACTAAACAAGCAGTGACAGGCTCCTGGTTCAGGTGCAAAAGCAGTAGGGACTTCTACCCATGGAATAGTTTCAGAAACAGTTTAATCGAATGATGAATATTCAATATAAATGGAGGTTTACAGTGACGCCCCGAACAGGAACACGCGCGTATATAGGGCGCGATCCATTCAACCAAAATTCCAACCGGTCCGACCGGGAAAAGTGGTCCACCTCAAAAGGTGGACCCGTTTTTTTCGAAACTTTTCCGGTTGGACCGAACCGATCCATTGAGCTCTGGACAGAAATTTCCGGAAATTTTGGTTGAATGGATCGCGCCC